CAGGGAGGCGGTTGTTGATTGTGCACAGGGGGGGGGGGGTTGTTGTTGATTGTGCACAGGGAGGTGGTTTGTTGATTGTACACCGGAAGGTGGGTCGTACAGTCAAACCTTTGTTAGTGACTACATCTTTATAAAGACTACCTGCAGAGGCAGTGGCACATAATTTTACATGAGGGGGTGAGATCTGCTCACCAACCTTGCGCAGAAGGTGAGACCTTAGCAGGGGCATGCTCCCTCTTAAAAATGTTGAAATCTTGTTGAGACAAAGGGTTTCAGCTTGATTTTGAAGGGGCGACCCCCAAAAAAATTTGGAAGGGGGAGACAAATGATTATCAGCATCAGTCAAACTTATTCAATTTTGATCAGATAAATGTGCTTTTATTTCTGTACTACCAACTGTCTATAAAGACCCTTCTAATGAAGTCTCTTGGATAATCACTATACATACATTTGTACACAAAACCTACATACATGTAGGGCTTACCACAGTATAATACAACACATTATATATATAACACTAAATGAAAGAAAGTTAGATTTATAGACAGCAGACACCTCCTTACTGGCAGACACATAGGATATGTCTCCTAGCAACCAAATAACATACTTGCAGCTGTGGGCATTCTTCAATTAATTTAGGACTTAACAGAGTAGACTGAATCACTCTCACTGGGGGAATGGTGGGAACATCAATTACACCCCACAAAAAAATATTTTATTCTCATTCTTCATTTCTATTCTTTTTTTTCTATAATTTTGTATTTTGGAAATAATTATCTATTGGAAATATTGTAATTACAGAAATGTCAAATTTTCACTAAAATGTTAGTGGGAAATAACATACATAAATATGGGATTACATTAGGATAACAATAAATATGATTGCAACTGATATAGGAAAGAAAAGAAATTTGGTTTACTGGGTTCTTGATTATTAAATCAGAGAGAAATTGATTGTTGCTAGGAAATGGAACAATAAATAATATTTTTTCGGAATATTGCTCTCACCTTTTACAAGCTGATTTATTAGTTAACAGTTCTGGGGAAACATACTGTGCTGTGCCAACAAATGAATTAGCTCGAGCTGAAATTAAACAAAGAAAGATTAAATTATGTAATGGCAACACAGTTGCGGTTCAGTGCATTAATGAGTTCTCAATGTTTACACAGAATATTGCTATTTTTTTAAAAATCCAAAGAAGATATATGTAGGTAGGTAGGTTCAATGGAAACACTTTTCAAGATTTCCTTATCTACTGATAACAGAGACTAGAGACAATCGTCAGAATGCACCCTGGCAAAATCCCAGAATACAACCTGGCAAAATTCCAAAATGCATTGCAGCCTGACGAAAACACCAGAATGTAACCTGGCAAAAGCGTACAAAGCTTAATAAACCAGTTATATTTTTTGTGATAACATATGAACAGTGGGAACAGTCATTATTAAGTTATATATGGGCAATAAAACTGTCCAGGTGGTGAACTAACTAATGAGACTATCCAGTGTGCAATCACTCGGTGGCACTAACCCCCATTGTGAGTAAAAATCTCCTGTGAATATATCTAAGAATACATGAATGATGAATCATTATTGTTAATTCTGATTTGTTTA